TCTCAAACCCAGGCTCTTAAGCAAGCCTAGGCTTTTGTCTCCATAAGCTGCTCTATCTAATAACCACAATGAGAAAATGTTAAACATTAGAATGTACTCATTCAGAGACAGTCCTTGAATGTTTAAACTTCATTTATTTAAACTCCAGCAAATGCAAAGGCCAGTGCCCCTGGGCATAAGAAATAATCAATTTTGCCTTCTACAAAATTGTGTTTTCCTAACATTAGGAAAAGAAAGCCTCTCTTTTACTGGAAAAGAACTTTTGGTGCATCATGTAATTCTTACTCATTTGAAATGTAATTTAAAACAGAGATTGCTTTTACCCACTTTTAATAGATTTTTAGAAATGCCATGAAATGAACATTGTTTTTCCATTTATGTTAAAAATGTCCATCCTAGACTAGAAGGTGAAGAAAATTCTGGATTTACTTTTCATGTTTTAGTGAAACATGAAATATGTAAACTTTGGGGAAAATTAAAATGAAAAGTTTAAAGACCGCTGCAAAATGTCCAGACCTTCTCTTGCATGAGTAGTATATCAACTTGTAAAAACCGAACTTAAACACATTCTCTATCGTTCCTTATTCCCGCCCCAACTGATAAGGCAACTGGACTTTGTAACCCACCTTGGTCAACCTCCTGACTCCAGACCCTAACACCCACTTCCCCGCTTACAAAAAAACGCTCTAAACAGTAACATCTGTAACTTTCCACTTGCCTACCCCAAACCTATAAAGCCAACTCCTATCCCTCCACTGACTCCCTTTTCGGACTCAGCCCGCCCACACCAGGGTGAATAAACTGCCATGTTGTTCACACAAAGCCTGCTTGAGGGGTCTCTTCATTCAGACTGGGCATGTTTTACAGGAAGGGGGCTCCAAAGCAGAAAGAGGGAAACCCCCACCTCAGGTACTATCCAGTGATACGCGATAGCTGGAGAAGTCAGTGTCTGATTTGCATAGGGCTCAGGGGATTGGTTTGACCAGGCATGTCATTCATGTAACCTTAGAAATAGCTGGCCCTCCCACCCTAGCTTTTAATATGCAAATATAGGGTGCCAAGATGTTCTACACAGATCCGCCCTGTGGATCCCGTTTCTAACAGCTTACATTTGCATATTAAAGGTTGCCGGCCTGGCCATGTTGGGTGGACCCAGTTCCTAATAACTGTATTTGCATATCAAAGGTTGCCGGCCTGGCTTTAAGAGCTGTGGCTTTACCAGAAATTTTCTGGAGATGCTTTAAAAAATGAAAACTTTCAGCCGGGCGCGGTGGCTCAAGCCTGTAATCCCAGCACTTTGGGAGGCCGAGGCGGGTGGATCACAAGGTCAAGAGATCGAGACCATCCTGGTCAACATGGTGAAACCCCGTCTCTACTA